AATAATAATAATGATATAGAGAAAAAAATTCTGGAATGGATGCGAAAAGAAAAAAATTGTTTTTGATGACGTAATCGTAACGTTTATTTTTTCCTTTTGGAAAAAAATTTTTTTTTCTTTACTTATTGATCACGCACGCACTCGCACACCTCCCCACCCCCCTCTTCTCCTTCTCCTCTTCTCTTTATCCCCCCAAAAATTCGTTCCAGAATTTGGAGTCGATTAAATTAAACGGATTTTTTTTTCTTTTTCTTTTTTTTTTTACGGGGTTTTGTTTGAAAAACGTCAATCAAATAAATTTAAGTCGTGTTAAATATATATATGTAGAAAGAGAGAGAGAGAGAGAGGAGAATAAAAAGCAGACGACGACGACAACGAGGAAGAGGAAGAGAAAAAAAAAAAATTGTCAAGAAAGCAAGATGTGTCACTAATGAACCATAACCAAAAGTGTCAAGGGAAAAACTTTGACTGATGATTTTCTGTGTGTGTGCATCAAAAAAAAATTTTTTTCTTCTTATTTTTATTCTTATTCTCATTCTCTATGTGAGGAAGAAAAAAAAAATTTTTTTTGGAGAAAATTCCAGCGATTCCAAAATTAAAAAAAAAAAAAAATCGACCAAATTAAAAAAATTTTTTTTAAATTTTTTTTCTCCCGGATAAATTTCAATAACGACTGGAGATTATTTCATCCCCCTTTTCAGGGATTCATCCCTTACCAAATCCCTCCCCCCGGTTAAAACTCCTGGAAAATTATTAAAATTATATAAAATCACGGAAAATTTACTGAAAAAACAAAATGGAAGGTTTGAACTTTAATGTCAACCATTTTTTTTTTTTAATCCCCTCAATAATGCAAAATAACAACAATATAATAATCGATTGAATTTATTTAAAAAACATTTTCTTATCACTAAAAACGTGATAAGAAAACCTTTTTCTTCTTATTTACGATCAAACTTTAAAAAAAAAAAAAACCCGCGTAAAAAAATTTCCGCAGTAGAATTTTATTCAAGTATTTATCATTTTAGTACTATTAAATTCCGATAGGTGTCTCTGATTGCAATAACAATTTTTTTTTAAATACGACAACAACAACAACAACAAAATTTTAATGGATTTTTTTTTACGTTTCCAATCGGATAATTTTCTTATCAATCCGGGTTTTTTTTTTTTCGTTGATAATTTCATATCGATTGGAAATTTTAATTATAATTATTATTATTATTATTATTATTATTATTGAAATTTTAAAATTTTCCTCGTTTGCGATTATTAAAGAAAAAAAAAATTTTATCCCACATTTTCAATTGATTTTGTTAAAAAAAAAAAAAAAACAAACTTGTATATAAAAATAAAAATAAATATGTATAAAATCGATGGCCTATATTTATACGTCACGTGACAAATAGTAATAATAATAATAATGACTTTAACGTTGAAAAAAAAAAAAAAATTCGGGAAATTTTTAAAAATTTGTTTGGAAAATTGCCTAATCATCATTTTTAGGGCGAAATTTCAAAAAAAAAAAAAATTAAAAAAAATTTTTTTCTGAGATGATCTTTCCAATAATAATAATAATAATTTAATCGGACTCACGTTAAATAAATAAATAATAATAATGATAAGGTTTAATAAACTTTCCCCTCCTCTCCCGCTCTTCCTTATCATACCCTTCGAAATAAAAAAATTTTAAAAATTAATAATGATAATAATTGTCAAATCCGAAACAAAAACAAGAACAAAAACAATTTTTATATAATAATAATAATAATGATGATGATGATGATGATGAAAAAGTTAAAAGGAAAAAAAAAAAGAAAAAAAAAAAAAATTAAAAACGATATTCATGATGGTGGCAAGTGGAATGCAATCGGACAAGTGGTTGCCTACGGATCGCGTTAAATCTTCCCGCCCATCGACCCATTGTCGTATTTGATCCTCCAGTTATTTTACGCGCCAAAGTTTTTATGGGCGTTCTTTAACCTGCGCAGAAAGAATTCTAAATAAAAAACGTATCGCGCAGCCCTCTTTAGAATGTCATAACACCGCCGCCGCCGTTGAGCTTACAACTACTCCCCTCTCGGCGGTGATTGACAGTTAGCAGACGGCTGCTGAACGCGCAGGGTCTGTCCAAAGTGATCGTGTTTGTAGTTGTTTTCTTATTTTTTTATTATTATTGTTGTTGTTGTTGTTGTTTTTTTTTTTTTTTTTTACTGTAATTCTTTCGAATCGTGTTTGTCTATCTATCTTAGACAAAGAGAGAAAAAAGAAAAAGTTTTCTTTAACGCGCAGTAGCAAAAGTTCTATTTAGAAAAAATATACACACATACACACACACACACCGTGTCGTGAATGTCTTTCGGTTAAACATAAATAATAATAATAATAAAAACACAAATTTGTCGGTTGTACTCTCTCGCGCACAAATACACACACACACACACATACACGAACGTGTAGAAACACACAAACGTTATCGTGTGCACGTGTAAAGTTTTTCGTTTTTTTTTTTTCTATCGAATACACACAGACCCTGATTATTAAATGCGTTGTTTGCAGCCTTTTCCGGTTCGGGTCGTTGTCGGTATCAAAGGCTGCTACTATAAGTGAAAATCGTAAAAATAATAATAATAATGTGCTCATACTGGAAATGTGTTGTGAATACGAGGTGACAGCGTCACCCCGAATCTGATATAATAATAATATAAGTGAATACTCTTGTTTTTTTTTTTCTGGATAAGAATAAAAATAGTGGAAGAAGACAAAAAAAAAAAAAATTTATGATGTTTAAATCAATTATTATCGATCGGTGTTATTTTTGTTATTGTTGATAAACGTATCAACGTGTCGTGGTAGTAGAAAAAAAAAGAAAAAAACGTTTAAAAAAGGAAAAGTTTTTTCGTTTTCCTTCCTTTCTTCCTTCCTTCCTTTTTTTTTCTATTTTTTTTTTCTTTCTCGAAAATATTATCACTTTCCTTATTATCATTATTTCTATCTCTCTCTCTCTCTCTCTCTTTTTTTCTATTTCCACTTTAAAGTGTTTGTTAGAAACGACGACGATTTTTACGTTTAACCGGTCGATAAAAAATTATTTACAGTGGCTCAGACTGCGGAATTAACCGCGGTAGCCAGGGCGTTCATGGCTCAACCCAGGGTGAGTTTTGTCGTCAATTCAATTGACATCACAAACAAACAAACAAACGAACGAACAAACAAACCTTTCCTATTATTTCCTAACGAAACGAAAAATATATAAAAAAATTATTATTTTTTTTTTTTTAAAATAAAAAACGGCGTTGAAGCGAAAACTGGCTTAGACGATAAGATCGCGAGGATCCCATGTGCTCTCTCTCTCTCTCTCCGATGTGTTTTCCTAATGTCACCATCAATCACTCGTGGAAAGAATGCCGGCGGCCATGTTGGTTTCAAGCAACAACGGAAACAAACGGGTCCACGATTTATCATCCTTATATTAGTTTTGCCTTGCTCTATTGAAATCGTTTTTTTTATTTTTCTTCTGCTTCCACTTCTTCTTCTTCTTCTACTTCTTATTTCCTTTTGATTCATTTTCTTTTTTATTTTTTCCAAAAAAAAAAAAAAAATTTTTTTTAATTTTGGGTTCCTGTTTCCTTTATTATTATTATTATTATTTACAACTTTCCACAATTTTTATATTTCCTTCCGTTTGTTATTTTAATATCATCATCCGTTCATTTCATCTCTATCGATTTTCTTTTGCCGGTTGTATTTGTTATATTATCATTCGAAACGTACCTGAAATAATGATGATGATTGTTGTTTGTTTGAATGCGACGGCGATGAAATTTCCCATAATGTTCGCTAAAACGTGCGTATAAAACAAAAAAGTAAATATGGCGCGTTTCGTTGTGTTAAAATTTTAGGAAAAAAAACTCTGGAAAGAAAATAATAATAATAGTAAGAAAACCTGGAATTGATTACGCGGCGTACCGCCGGTAATAAATTCCAGGTTCGTATCCGACGGAGATCCGCCGATTTTTTTTATTTCCGGTTTGGATTTTTTCCCGTAAAAATGAAATTAAAAAAAGTTTTTTTTTAAAGTTCCGTCGCTCCCCGTAAAAATCTTTACGGATTCGACGTACGTCGGTCCCCTCGGTAAAAATTATTTTATTGGAAAATTTAAATTCTAATCGTTTTTCCTTTTTTTTTTCCATTACTTTTACCGGAAAATTTGTTACAAATAAAACTTTTCCGCCGATTTTCATTTTTCCCTCTTTTTCTTACAAAAAAAAAAAATTTCCGTGTATCGTTTTTTTTTTCTAACCCTCCTGGAAAATTTTATTTATTTTTATTTTTTTTTGGGGGGGGGGGTTTTAACGGAATTTTCCCAAAAAAAAACTTTTCGTAATTTTCCGGGGAAAAATCGATTTGTGGAATAAAATTTTTTTTTTTTTTTTCGTTTCTCAAATCTTTAAAAAATTTTTTGTTTGTATAAATTGTCCGTGTGCGAGTTTGTCGTTGTTTGTGTTTGTTATTGCCGTCGGGAAGATAAAAAAAATAAAAAAATTTTTTTTATGGATTTCAAAAACGGATATAATAAAATTTAAAAGTTATAGAATTTTTTTTTTCTTTTTGTCTAAAATTTCTGGAGAATAAGTTTTGCCAACATAAAAAAAAAAAAAAAATTTTTTTGGCAAAAATTTTAACGTTAAAAAAAAAATGGAGTAGAAATTCGAGTTTTTTTTTATATATTTTCGTTTCTTTGTTAATCCCACTTTCCTTTTTTTATACTAATAATAATAATAATAATATTTTTCCATGATGGATATATTCCGGATTTTGTTGGGGATCCGACGGAATCGAACATTCCATAAATAATCCATTATCTTCCTTAAAACAACAACGACGACGACGAGATTTGCCATTTTTCCTAATTCTTTTTTTTTTTTGTTTTTCCCCGATTGTTTTTGTAGTATGACGACGGAATCCACCCTTACATGGACGCTGCTAGCGGGGGAGGCATGTACGACCCCCATGTGGGGCACAGACCTTTACAAATGGCTCATCATTCGCCTCACATGAATCATGCGGCTGCCATGCATGGATATCATGGAAATCACGTTAGTTCGGCTGTTACTAATCATGTGATGAGTTCTGGAGTTCCTGACGTACACAAACGGGATAAGGATGCTATTTACGGGTGAGTTATTATTATTATTATTAACATAAACCCGGATATGGAAGTGAACGAGAAAAGATATAACGAAAAAAATAATAACAATTCGTTGTGGGTGTTTGTTGTTGGTTTAGATTTCGTTAAAAAAAATTTTCCGAAGGTTTTCCACCCACTTAAATACGACAAACTCTCGCCGCCACCCCCTTCTTCCACCTTCCTCATCAAATGACGCCACGAAATTTTTAAAAATTATTTTCTACGAAAATTTTGAATTTAATTATTTTTTCGCACTCTCTCTCTCTCTCTTCTCTTTGTTAATATTATCGTAGCAGAAGAAAATCATATCCGATGATGACCAATGATCAATGATTTTAATTATTATTATTATTATTATTATTATTTGAGATTGTCGTTGTTGTTGTTGTAGTGTCATCGAGGGTGAAATTTCAAACTGAAAACAAACAAAAATAATCCGTAATATTAATTTTTTTTTTTTTACAAAAAGAAAAGAGAACGATGCGAAAATTAAAAAAACGAATTAGCGAAAAAAAAAACGATCGTGTCAGAAGATAATTTTATTATTTAAAAAAAAATTCCGACGATACCTGATTCGAATCACAAATTTTTTTTTTTTTTGTTTTATTCTACCGAAATTTAAATAACGTGTCATTAATTACAAAAAAATTCCGCGTGCGAATTTTATCTTTTTTTTTCATTAAAAATTCAACGACGTGTCATCAGAGTAACGTTCGTATAAACGACGTTCGCGGTTTTTAAAATTTTTAAATGTGCGTGTGCGTGCGTTTTCGTACGTGTTCGCTTAAAAAAATTTTTTTTTTTTTTTTTTTAATTATTTTTATTTTATTTTAAATTAATTTTGTTATTTTTTAATTCCATGCCAGGTACGATTTCTCTCTCTCTCTTTCTTCGCATAACCCTTACGACACAAACAAAATTATTATTATTATTATTATTATTTTACGCAACCGATACGATTAGATAGATAGATAGATAGATATTGACCCCCGGGGTGGGGGGCTACCGTACATAAGTTAAAAAATTTCATTTTACAAAAAAAAAAAAAAAACTTTTTAGAAATGATAATGATAATAATAACGACCATAATGATGATTATGATGATGATGATAATAATAATTTTTTCGTGCCTTTTTTTTTTTTTACAACTGGTTCAATTTGGTCGATCCGGTAATTACTATTATTATAGTTTTTTTCTCATTACAAAATTACAACTCTCTCTAATTTATATGACAAAATTTTGACGCCTCTCGCTATATAATTGTATAGCGCTATAATTTTTTTTTTTTTTTACTCTCGACGGTTTAAACTATTAATAAATATTTACGGGGGTGTGCGCGAGTGCGTGTGGGGGGAGGGGATGGGAGGGAGAAAAAGAAAAAAAGGGTGACGAACGAGCGCAAGAGTAAACAAATAAAATAAAAATAATTCTAATTATTTTTTATCATTATTATTATTATTATTATTATTATTATTATTATTATTATTATTATTATTATTATTATTATTATGGATATATAAAATGTCTTTTTTATTTACGTTTTTGCGGTTGTTGTTGTTTGTTGTTTGTCGTAGAGAAAATCAAGGCAAACAAGCGTTAAAGCTAACTGAAATGTTTATTATTTTGTTCTCTTGGAAAAAAAAAAATGCGAACGATTACGCGACGTTTATTATTTAATTTATATTAATTACAAATAACAAACGGATGATGTTTGTTGATTGTGTTTGTTACGTTCACGTGAAGTGTTTGTGTTTATTCTCGCGCACACACGCACGTGAAAAATCCCCGAAAAAGGGAATTAATTGATAAAGAAGAGAAGAAAAAACGTCATCGATTAATTATTATTATCATTATCGGAAAATTACGTCATATGATAAAATTTTTTTTTTTTCTACTAAGAGAGAGAGAGAGATTGTTATAGTCGATCGATGATTACGTCATCATCATCATATTCATATAGGTGTTGGTTTTTCGTCGAAAGGTGATGGATGTTGGTATTAGTTGTAAGGCGGGAAAAAATAACCACCCACCAATTTATCAATTGAATTGCTCCCGCGTATACGAAATTTTCCTTTTTTTTTCATTTCTCTCGTCTTCCTCTTTTTTTTCCCTTCCTGTTTTTCTCCCTTTTTTTAAAAAAACACTTCGATTCGTTCCAGAACAATATTCTGGAAAAAACAAGGAAAAAAACACACACATCGTTCAATTTCAAATCCGTGAAATTTAAATATTATTATTATTATTATTATTATTATTATTATTATTATAGTTTTTACTACGTCGATCGTGCCACGACAAAAATAATAATAATAATAATAAATAAAAAGAAATTCTAAAACCACGACGATTTTATTATTATTTAATTTAATAATTAATATAAAAGTAGTTAATGTCAACAAACAAGAATTGAATCCATCTTTACCCCATTCGCACCCCTCCCCCCTTTCTTTTCGTTTTTTTTTTGATTGCGTTTAAAAGGTTAAACCACAAATGCTAAGTAAAGAAGTGGAAGCAGAAGAGAAAAAAAAATTTCAAAGGATTACATTGTAAATATTTAAAACGTAAAACTCTCATTTTAAAAACCCATAAAATGATTTATTACTTTTACTACAAAATATATAGTATCGTGAGTTTTTTTTTTTTTTCGGGTCGAATTAGTGCGTGTGTGTGCGTGAGTGAGTGCGTGTATGCGTGCGTGCGTGTTTGTACCTTTTCGGTTAATTGAAAATTTTTACCTTTAAGAAGAGCAAACGGTTTTTTTTTTGACGTGACTTGAAAATGTTTAAAAACGCATTAGTTTTCTTATGTTTTTTTAACGTTTAGCAAATAACTACTACACTTCATTTAATCAAAAATGCAACGAATTTTTCTACTTACACGTTCGTTCTACGTACACGTTCGTGTAAGAGAGCAAACGAGAAAAACTCCCCTTAAAAAAAATTTTTTTTCATTTTCATTTCATTCAAAGTAATAAAAAAATTTTTAACTTGTAAAATAATAAAATGTTACCCTTAAACCTTATAAAAATATCAACAACAAACAACAAACTACAACAAATCGGAAGAAGGAAGGAAAAAAAAGTGCGTGTGTGTGTGTGTGTGAGTCTACGACACCTGGCTTAAAAGTAACATCATCCATTGCCATGATTTAGTTTTTTTTTTTTTACTCATCCGCCATTTTGGATTTTATTTCTGGAAATTTCCAGAAAAAAATAAATTTAGAACTGCCATCGCCACCACCACCCCGGCTACTACCGTCGTACGCAAAAAAGAAAAAATTTTTTTTACGATTGTTTCTAATAGTTTTTTTTTTATGGTGGCAACATTGATTTTCTTTTTTGTATAAAAATTTATCGACGTTTTATTATTATAATAAATATTATGTTTAATAAAATAATAATAATAATAACAATTTCAACAATTCAACACCCATAAAAAAAAGAAAGTTAAAACTCGTTAAACATGACAAATTGTTAAGCAAACAAACAACAAACTCAATTCGTAGTAGTAAAAGGGCGGGGGTGGTGGTAGTGGCGGTGGTTGTACCGGTTTGCATTAAATTTTTTCGATAAAAATTAGTTCCACCGCCTTGTTTTAATAACGTTTCCGATTTTTTTTTCTTGGTTTAATAATAATAAAATTGTCTGATTCCACGTTTGAAATGAATTTTTTTTTTTTTAATTTTCTCATCGGTTTTTCACGATTATTATGAAAAAAAAAAATGATTAATTTTTTTTGTTGCTATTTGTTTGTTTGTTTTTATTATTGTTTGTTAAGACGTGAAATTTTCCGTTCGTGTGGTTGTTTTCTTTGTTGTCGTTTGTAGGATTTTTTATTTATTTCATTTACGATTAATTTTTTCCTCTTTTTTTTTATTCGTTTCGCGTTGGTTTTTTCTTTTCTTTTTCAAAACGTCTTCTGACACTTTTTTTTAAATTTATAAATAGGGGAGGGGAGGGAGAGATAGTACGAACGTAATCGTAAAAACGTTCGATTGATTCGAACGTTTTTCTTCGATGAAACAAACAAACAAAAAAAATTTTTTTTTCGAACGTTTCATTGATTATATTGTTGTAAAATTTTCTGGCAGTTTTTTTTTTTTTTCATATAATTTTCGTTCGAATTTATTGAAATATTTTTAAACGTGGAAATAGGCAAAGAGAAAGAGAGAGAGAGATAGAGATAAAGAGAGAAATGGCAAACGTTTCAAAATAACTTTTTTTTTTTTTTTTTTTTTAATAAATTATTTTTCATTTTGTTATTAAAAACTTTTTCTTTTCGTTTTTTTTTTGTTGCTGACGTCATTCGTCTTTCTAATGCCACTTAGTTTACGTTTTTTTTTTATAATTTCATCCCGGATTTTATTATTATTATTATTTAAAAAAAAAAAATTTTTTTTTTGATTGTTTTCGTAAACAAACACAACCGACAGGAAATTAAAATTAAGAAATTTTTTTTTTATAAACATTTTGCGGTTGTTTTATAAAACAAACAAACTCGTTTGCGCCAAAAAAATTTTCTTATACGTAATTAAATTGCAGAAAACAAAATAACTACAACCACGACAACAACCGCCACCGCCATGTTTTTTTTTTTTTATAATTCGATAATAATAAGTTAAAATTTCAATTTACTCTTTTTTTTATTTAAAAATCCAGATAATTTTAATAACATTCGGACGACGGAAACGGGATTTTAACAATAATAATAATAATTTTTTTTTGTATTTTCGTTCCAGGCATCCGTTATTCCCTTTGCTAGCGTTAATATTTGAAAAATGCGAATTGGCAACGTGCACGCCTCGGGATCCTGGAGTTGCCGGTGGAGACGTTTGTTCTTCCGAATCATTCAACGAGGATATTGCCGTTTTTTCTAAACAAGTAAGTTTTTTTCCGAACTCACCCGAACATACCCGAACGTGTCACCCTGTCTCTCCAACCCACCCCTAATAATAATAATAATAAATTTAATTATTTGACGTATTCATAATCGACGCGTTTATAAAAAGCTACTAATAATAATGATGAAAATTAATAATAAAATTTAAATCGATTTATCGATTTATTGATTTATTCGTACTTCGAGGTAATGATAATAATAATAATAATAATCGGTACTTGTTTCTTATTGATTTTTAAAACCAGACGACGACGACAACGACGACGCCATTTTTAAATCCTTTTGTTCGATTTTTAAAAAAAAAAGTTTTTGTCATTTTTCAAAGGAAAAAAAAACCGTTACGTTTAAAAATTTTTTCCATTCATTAAAAAAAAAAAAAACTTTTTATTTAAATAATAATAATAATAAAAGGAAAAAATTATTTTTTTTTTAGCATTTCTTTCTTACGGGGGATGGAAAGGGGAGGGTGGGAGGGGAAAAGGATTATTCGAAATAATAATAATAGTATTCTTATTGTCATCCTTTTTTTTATATTTTTAGAAAGTTTATTGATCTTAACTAACCGAGCCCCCAAAACTAATAATAATAATAATAATGATTTACAACAACGACAAAAAAAAATTTTTTTTTAAACTCACCCTTTTCTGGATTATTATTATTATTATTATCATTTTTTTTTTGTCTCGAAAAATATTTCGTTCGTGTTTTTAGAAAGACAAAAAAAAAAAAAAATGAGTTGAACGAACCAAAATGGCGGAATTATTGTAAAAATTATTAACGACGATGATGATGATGATGATACTGATGGTGGTGGTGATGATGATGATGATACTGATGGTGGTGGTGATGATGATGATGATGATGTTGTTAGCGATGATGATGATATTGTTTTTATAACAGTTCGAGAGTTTGAAACCAAAAAAAATTTTTTTTGCTTCTTGTGTTGTTTCGAAAACGTTCGAAATTTATGAGTGTGCACGTGCGCGTGCACGTTTAGACTGTATATATCTGTATATTTTCTACAAGGGATTTTTTTATATTGAGGGTTGAGAACCATCGCTAATCTCACGGTGTTGCATTTAAATTGAAATTGGATATTTTTTTTTTTTTAAGGGAAAAAAAAACTTTGCCAACCATCGTAGTTTCACCCGCATTTTTATTTTTCATTTTTTTTTTTTGACGAATTCAAGGTCGTTAAGGTTTTTTTCGAGTATGCGCGTGCGCGTAAAAGTCCGTACCTACGTACCGATCTATAGAGATTTGAAAAAAAAATGAAATCCGAACGGATTTCGTACATATATTTAATAACGATCATTTAAATGATAATTAATTATTCCACATTACGTCGTTTTTATCTAATCCCACGTTTTTCACGGGTTTTTCTATAGTTTGCTAACACGCGAATATTATTTTGGCAATCGTTCTTACCTTTTTTTTTTGGCATGATTAATTCAAAACCATCTTTTTTGTTTTTTCACGTTCGAAAAAGTAACGCAAAAGAAAAAAAAATTGATTTAATTTATTTCGACGTGTAATAATAATAATAATAATAATAATAATAATGATAATGCTAAAGAAAAATAATAAAATTCTCACACGGAACAAAACAATAGGACGACAAACAACAACAAGTCCTTGATATAAAATTCATATTATGTATGTATCGTAATTATCATTATCATAATAATAATTCGTGGCACAAGTAAAAAAAAAATACCACCCATGATTACGTGTAAAATTTTATTTTTTTAAAAATATGAATTGATTCTAGTGCCACGTTAAGTATATTTTATATAAAAAACGATATTATATTTAAAATTAACCGTCAAACAATAAAAAAATTTTTTTTGTTTTGTTTTGATCTTTTTGACATCATTTCCCGTTTGAAAAATTTTTATGAATTTTTTTCGTTTGTTTGTTTGTGTTTGTTGCAACGTGGAATTTAAACCGATTTTAACATTCGTGCCACGTACTATGTAAATTCTTATGTAAAATGACAATTGCAATTGCATTATGAATTTTTTTAAATAAACAAACGTTTTTAAAAAAAAAAATTTTTTTTTTTTTTTTAAAACGATAATATTTTTTTTTTGTTTTTAATCGTTAATGACACGTTTTTTTTAAGTTATCGGTGTAATTGATAGGCGTAACTAAATGCCAAAATGGCACAAAATAAATAGGAAAACATCTCAGTTAGGAGCCTTTTATGTGTCACAGTTTGCGGTGATTTCATTGTTTGAATTCTCTTTATGACGACGACAAAACTCGTGGTCTCATAAAAAAACTACTATCTACTGCTTTTTTTTTCCTTTCTTCTGCCACGTTTTTTTTTTTTTTTTTTTTTTTTAATTTTCTTAAAAGTTTCGAACGTAAGATTTGTAAAAGTTTATTTATTACGTCGACCTTGTTAATCCCGAATTTATTTTATGCCCAATTTGGCCAATATGATAAGTACGATCAATAAATAAAATGAGAGTGAGAGAGAAAGAAGAGAGAGAGAGAGTAGATGTGGGTGTGCGTGGATGCAAAAAAACGGTTTAAAAAAATATTTTCTTTCATTCATCCACCCCGATCCGTTCCATCGTGTCGTCCATTTTCTAATTTTCTTTTTTTTTTCGTTGTCTATTTACACGTTATTTCGTAAATTTTTTTTTCTTTCGTTTCTATCAGACATATATTCGATCATTAAATGACTGGCAGCTTGAAATTTTTTTTTTTTTAAATTTCAAAGGAGGGTTAAAAAAAAAAATGGATAAATTCGTTCGTTCGTTCGTTTCCTCGCTCGCTAGCTGGAGTTTTTTTTTTGGAGAAACAAAATAATAATAATAATATTTAAATATAATGACGTTGCGTTATTTAATTCCACGCATCGTCGTTCGTAACGAACGAACAACAACAACATTAGAAAAAAAAAAGCCTTCGTTTTAAGGCTGCAACCTTTTTTTTTTCTACAAAAGATCCCTTTTTCTTTTTATTAAACAAATAAAGTAGGTGAGAAGAAGTAAAAGAAATAATAATAATAATAATAATGGCGTTCGTCGAACGTATCATCATCATTATCATCATGAATAAATTTCCAGTAATTTTTTTTCACTCTTTATTTAATCCCCGCCATATTTGTTTTTAATTTATCGATAATTTTTTTTTCTGATTTAAAAAAAAAATCGAAATTTATTATTATTATTATCATCATTATTATCATTATTATTATTATTATTATTATTATTATTATTATTATTATTATTATTATTATTATTATTAGTATTAATATTATTTCAAATAAATGTTTATATAACTTATTTAAAAAAAAAGAAAAAAGCACACGAAATTGAAAAGAAAAGAAAAGAAATAATAAAAAAAAAAAAACGTTTCAGGTTTTTTTTTCTTCTATTTTTTTTTAAGGTTCGGTTTTACCGAGAAGATAAAAAAAAAAAGTTGGTTTTGTGGCTGAAAAGGGACTCCCCGGGGAGAGAGAGAGAGAGAAAGAGAAAGAAAGAGAGAGATAAAGATAGAGAGAGAGAGAAGTTGTCGTAAATAACATAAAAAAAAAGAAAAAAAATTCAAGGTATTCTTTCGAGTAAACGTAGACGATATTTAAAGGTATATACACATAATTCAGGTATCTCGCAGTGCGTGTGTGTGTGAGAGAGAAAGAAAGAGAGAGAGAGTGAGAGAGATGTTTCCTATGAGTTTCTCTTGTATTAAATAAAAAAAAATCTTTATAACGAGACAACATAAGGATTTAAAACAATTTTTTTTTATCTATCTCTCTCTTTCTCTCTCTCTCTTTCATTAATTTCCTCTCACCCACTATCTCTCTCTCTCTCTCTCTTTTTCTTTCTTTTTAATACGTATACGGGAATTTTTCTTTCTTTTCTTTCTTTCTTTCTTTTCCCCTTTAATTATATATCATTTTTCATTGTGAGTTTTTTTTTTAATTCCATAACGTCTGGAGAATTCGATTATTTAAAAAAAAAAAATGGCGGATTCCTTGTTTCCGGTTTTATTCGAACAAATCGAACCCATTGATATTTAATTTACATCATTCTCATTTAATTATTATTATTTATCGAAACTATTGTTTATCATAAAATCCATTGTACCTTGATCAATTTATAACGAACGAATTTTTAATAATAATAATAATAATAATAATAATAATAATGATGATGATGATGATGATGATGATGATGATGAATGCCTTTTCTTTGTAAAAAAAAAAAAAACATCAACGTTCCATATCTTTCTCATCGCAACAATTAACATTAATATCATATCTCTCTCTTTCTCTCTCTCTTTTCCAGTAAGAAAAATTTACGCTTCGTAATAATAATAATAATAATAATAATAATAATAATAATAATAATAATAATAATAATGATAATGATAATAATAATAAATGATTTGCAACGTTGTTGTTTGAATTTAAAAAACAAAAGCAAAAAAAAATTCTCGAAGGTTTTTTAATACGAAAAAAAAAATACGTAAAATGATAATGATAATAATGATAATGATAATGATAATAAATAAAAGTTCGCACCCTCATATTTCACAACATATAAAGAAAAAAAAACTAACAAACTGGGCGTTAAGTAATTGTACGTAATATTAATTACCTGTAGACAAATTTTTGTTTGTTTACCTTCAATATTTAAATTTAGTTAAATTCAAGTTATGGTTAAAATGTCGCAATTAATTATTATTATTATTATTATTACTTAACTTGGCAGGGTTGTGTTATTTTTCTTTTGACACGACTCCAATAAATTTCAAATCGCTCACAAAAAAAAAAAAAAAAATTATTTTAAATTTTATTAATTAAATTTTCGATAAGTTAAAAAAATGTCAAATTTTATTATATTTTAGTATTATTATTATTTGGTTAATGCCACGACATTTTTTTCCATGATGATAATAATGATAATGATAGAGAAAAATTTAAAGGGTTGTTATTATTATTGCTATGTAAAAAGGATTTGTTGTTTTTTTTTAAATTTGATTTTGCGGTCATCGAAAAAAGAGATAAAATAAAAGTCCATTTTGATATCTTGCATCTGTCATTTACATCCCTCATTCGCAACAAACAATAACAACAACAACCGACGGTGATTTTAAAAACAAACAAACAAAAGCAAGCAAAATATATTCTTAAGTACCGATAATATAAATTATATTAAATTTTTTTTTGTTTCTGAGTGAGTGTATGTTTCAAAAAAAATAAAATAAAATGGACGAAGTTTGTTACGTATTATACAATAGCAGAAGATTTTAACCAACAACAACAACAACAAACAAAAGCAGAAGTTTTTTTTTTCTTTGGTAGTAACGCTTCACGTAACACACGTTTCGGGATTGGTTTTCATATATATACGTATTGCATCCCTTTTTGTTGCTCTCTTTTACTCACCGGAACCGGTCTCCTTTTATTATTATTATTATTATTATTTCTAACTAAAAATTTTTAAAATTTAACATTCCCAAAAGGAAAAAAAAAATGTACGGGATAAGGGGAAGAAGGGAAAATGAAAATAATAATAATAATAAATGAAATGACGAGGGATTGACATTTTTAATTTGTACTATTATAACACATAAATTATATTCGATTCAAATTTTTTTTTTTTTTGTTACGTAATAAATTGTTTTTTTACTACTACAACTACAACTACTACTGCTGCCACGACGACGTGACGTTTGTATTTAATACATTTTTTTTTTTTTAATATCGTGATTGTAATTATTAAAAAAATTATCAAAACGATAAATTTCGGACACGTTTTTTCTACTTTTTGTGTTGTCACATTTGTATTCGTTTCTCGATTTTTTTAAATTTAAACCTTTTCGAACGTGTGCGAAAAATATAATAATAATAATAATGATGATAATGATAATATTTTATTATTGAACGATCGATAGAGAAAAAAAAAATTACCGTAATAATATTTTTTTTTTTTTTTCCCCCGTCATTTTATATTTAAATATATCGTTCGGTTCTTGTCAAATTTTTCCTTCTTCGAGATATTTTTGTGCATTTCCGGTTTTTCGGGAATATTTTTTTTTTGAGGGAAGGGGGGAAGGAGAATTTGATCGTTTGGGTATTTTGTTAAAATTAAAAATTCCCGCCAAAAAATAATTTTTAAAAACGTTTAAACGACTTGGAAAAAACAGAATAATGCTCGCATATTTTTTTTTGTTGTGCGTTTGTTTGTACGTGTTAGTGTGTGCGTGTGCGTGTGCGTGTACGCGTTTGTAGTTTTATGATTCACTAAGGTAAAAAAAAGAAAAAAAAAAACATTTTTTAGAAAAGGAAAAAAAAAAAATTTTTTTTACTCGAATAAAAGAAGCAGGTAAAAATCATTTAGATTTGAATAAGCAAACAGCAGGGGTGAACAACAACAGTTTTAAGCTAAACAATGGACATCAATAACAATAGATTTGGTTGTTGTTGTTGTATGTACGTATATGAGGAGAAGGAGGAGGACAAGGGTGACCGTTGGCCTTGAGCTTTGAATGCAACAAATCTTTAATAATAATAATAATAATATTTCTATCGGATCAATAACCCCAGGTATTTAAGGTTTCCTTCTTTTTTTTCGTGAATTTTAACTTTGTTTTTTACTACCACGACGGTTTCATCACTCCCGTTTCTCTTCCCTCTTCCTTCTTCCCCTTTACATCCCGTTTCCCCCCTCCTCCCTTCCCCTTCCACGTTTTCGCTCCGATATCTGTTAAAACTAAATTTAATTTCAAGAGCGTTAAATTAATGACGGTTGTAATTTTCTTTTTTTTTTAATTAAATTTTATTTAACTCATGTTTAATTAATAAATCCTTTTTGTATGTGTGCACGGTTCGCGTTGTTGTTTGTTGTTTGTTGTTGTTGTTCTTTTTATTAACAAATATGGCGGCGTAATGTATATAATTTTAAATGTTTTATCCGTGGTTTTCACTTAAAAAAAAAAAAATTGATTTTTTTATTAATAATGAGGTTTTTGGCTCTCGTTCAAACCGCAATTTTTTTTGTTGTTGTTTGTTTGTTTGTTTGTTTCTCTCTCCCTTTAAACGTATCGGTTTTCTCATGATTTAACAAACGCCAAAGGGTTTTTTTTACCAACCTTATTCATCGATCGATTTCTGACTATCTTTTTCCTTATTGGTTTCAACGTAAAACAACATTTTACGTTTGTGCAAATAACTAAAAAAAAAATTGATAAATCTAATGCCACGTTCGTTCATTTGCCGCACGTTTTAAAAAATTTATTATTATTATCACTCATAAATTAAACGTTTTAAATACGACGAGAATCAAAACGTTATAAGAGAAAATAAAATGTCGAGACGGTGACGATCGGGGAGAGGAAGGAGTTTCCATCGGGAAAATTTACAACGATGATGATGATAATAATGATAATAATTAAAAGAAATTTGTCTTTTTTGTTGCTAAATCTAGCGCCTCTTATTTAAATAAATTACAATTAATAAAACTCGGTGTAAATTGGATCGTAAAAAAAAAAAAAAAAAAAAAAAATTTCAAGCGAAACAAGTGCCAGTTCATAAGAGTTGACTTTTCTAATTAATGTGGCATAAATAATTTTCTTTTCTTTTTCTTTTTTTTTTGTTTTTCGTACGTGACTCCTGTTGTCACGCGGTTGACGACGATAAACATTTTTCTATAATATTATTATTATTGGAAAATTTATCATATTGATTTTTCCTTAATTTTCTTTTACGTTTATCTCTCCATTCACGTGACGAGAAAAAACGTTTTTAACAATTTCCAATTAGTCCTTTTGGATTTTTCTAATTACACGTCGAATTTCCCGAATCGAGTGGTGTCACTTTAAACATCGTACTTAATCGTGTAACGGATAATATTAAAAAAAAAATCTTCGACGTGTAACAAAACAATAATTTGACTCTTACGAGAATAATTCTCATAAATTAAGACGTTTTGATAGATTTGCAAGTTTCTTTTCGTTTGTTCGTCTCTGTCCCCTCTCTCCTCCCCTTACCCCCCCCAGCTTGACATAACCTTTTGAACTCTTTGCCATTTCATCAATAACAACGCCAATACATTGACACACATTGTTGTTTTCATTCTCATTAAATTTATTGTTAAAATTATTCGCGTGGTAAAACTCGCAACAAACAACAACAACAACAACGCACGTTTTGATTTATGACTTTTAAATCGAATCCATCTTTAATGATTATATACGATAAAAAGAAAATCCCGCACCGCAGGAGGAATCAACTCAAAACAATCGACGAAAGATTTAACAATAATAATAATAAAAAATGACAAATTTGACGTGGAAAACTTTTTCCAGAAAAGAAAAAAAAATTTTTTAATTCTGGGAATGTGTCATAAAAATACTCACGATGTCAAATTATATATGAAAAAACAAACAAACAAACAATATTGCAAAAATATAGAAAATTTTCCCTCCGCGTTTGTTGTTGTTGTCGATTGTTTAAATTCGTTTGACCTCACAAAGGAAAAAAATTTTTTTTTTTTATTCCAATAGAAATGACGAATTGCGCGGTCGTAGGCGAGCGATTCCTTTAAATACATAAAATCCAATTATTCAACGTCCTCGAGTGTATCAAACAATTTTTACAATAATTCGAGTGTACAAAAAACCAAACGCATGAGTGCACATTATAAACTATACACACACACACACACAATGAGAGAGACAGAGAGAGAGGGATAGTAGAGTCAAAAAAAAGAAAAAAGATAGATAGAAAAATCTCCCACAATACCTGGGGTAGTAGGTAAAGAGGAGAGAAGAACGACAAAGAAATCAAAAATGGCGACCGCCGCTATATAAATGAAGGTGCTTTTATTATTATTATTATCATTATTATTATTAAATACAATATCAAGTTTTTCGGTTTGACTGTGTAAAGAATTAAAAATGAACGATTTTTCTACTACCACGTTTTTATATTCAATCAAATCCCTTTTATTTAGCAAAAAAAAAAAAAAAAAGAAGAGGGTCTAACAAAAAAAAAAAAACTTTTTTTTTTTAAATATTATTATTATTATACCGTTTGTTGTTGTTGTTGTTGTTGTACCTCCAGCAATGTTTGTTGATTTTACCCGGGAATTTTTATCCCTAATAAGACTTATATTAAAACCAACGTTGCCAATTTTTAACGCGACGTAATTTTAATTTTTTTTTTTTTTCTATTACAGATCCGCCAGGAGAAACCGTATTATATTGCCGATCCGGAAGTCGATTCACTTGTAAGTATAACAAACAAACAAATTTGTTTAAAACGATAATAATAATAATAATTATTATTTTAAAATGTTTAAATGACGTCACAACCGTTCGTTAAATTTAATTTTATTGGGATTCTACCCAAATTACCACCCCCAAACACACGAAAGCAATTCTGTTGTTTTTTATTTTAAATTTCGCGCCATTTTTTTAAAAAAAGTTTAACGTTTTTCGTGTAAAAAGAAAAAAAAACAAAGATTAGGTAAAAAAAAAAAGAAGGAGGTAGTATTGGATTTCGTTTGTCGTTTGTTTATTTGTTTAAATTTAAGATAAGTTTTTCAACCGTTTTTTTTTTTATTTGTATGCCAATATTTACACATTCGTGTTCGGATTATGTCGAAGACATTTTTCTCTCTCTCTCTCTCTCTCTAAACCAATAAAACGTTCGTCCTTGTTTAATAATAATAATAATAATTATGTTTGTTTATGATTCCGATGGGTTTATTTATTTCAAAAAAAAAAAAAAATATTTACACGCGTAATAATATGTTTTATTCTTCCTCTTTCTTCTTCCACGTTAATTTTTTTAAATTTTTTTATATTTTTTTTTCGTAATTATTTATGTAGATTTCTTTTTTTTTGAACGTGTCAATAGAATTTTTTTTCGGTTGAGTCCGTCGTCGATTTATTTCTTATCAATCGTAAAAAAGAGAGAGAGAGAGAGAGAGAGAGAGAAAATTTAAAATCCCACCTGCCAGTTTTTTTTTGATAAAAATCTTTTATTTTTATACCTACGAACGGTCCCGCGTGAGGTTTAAGAAAAACGTTAAATAATTATTTGATGACGTAGTGACGTATTTAATGTTTTTCCTAAATTTTAGTTTCCTTGAAACCACGATTTTACCTGACACGTCACATATACTTATCAATTATCGTATACCTTAATAAGGTATTTTTTATCATTATTTTAAGGTTGCTAATTTAACCGGTTTAATCTCATTTTTCTTTCTCTCCCTCTCTTCCTCCCTCCTTTCCCCTCCCCCACTCTCTCTCTTCGTCATTTAAACATTGTCGTTTGTTGTAAATTAAAAAAAAAAAAAAAAGAAAATTTTCCACCTGTACCTGAAAAATAAATTTTTTTTTAATTAAAACTTTTTTTTTAAATTTTTAGATGGTGCAAGCAATTCAGGTACTTCGGTTCCACCTTTTGGAATTGGAAAAGGTAAGTTTTTTTATTTTTTTATTTTTTATCGGTACTTATTACAAAAACAACAAACAAAAACAAACTGTTTGTTTTTAATCGTATCTGTTTGTTATGATAATAATAATAATTATTATCAATTTTATTTCACGTCCGACGAATAATTTTTTCCTTTGGATTATTTCGAATTTATTCGGATTTTTCCTCTTTCTCTCTCTAAAACCGCAGTAGCCATTTTGTTATTATTATTATTATTAAACAATAAGTAAAAACAAAATGAGAAGAAAAAATTGTTTGTTGTTGTTGTTGTTCCCCATTGAAAAATAAGAAATCAATTACTTGATAAAGTAGATTTAAGAAAATCTACGAACAACAAAAACTTTTTCTCCAGTTTTTGTTATTTTTCTATTTGCACGATCGTCATTTTTATATATATAGAAGGGGGGTGAGAGGGGGGAAGGGGAAGAGAGAGAAAGAAAAAGAAAAAGAAAGGGAAGAAAAAAAACGGATGAAATGGTTTTTAGAGACAAACAAGATTTATGACAAATCGCCATAAGAAAATACGTGTCAGTAACTGGAAAAAAAATTTACAATTTATATCTTTTCTTTTTTTTCCACTGGAAAAATAAATAATATTTTTTATTTATTTATTTATTTATCACTGTTATCATTGTCAAATTGTAAAAAAAAAAATCGTGTGTGCCTGTAAGCATTATTATTTATTAAAACAAAAAAATTTTTTATCTCTTAAACGTTTTCGTGTTTGTCTGGAATTTTTTTTTTATCCAGTTATAAAAAAAAAAAAACTGGAGAATTTCATTTCGTGACTAAATTAATATCATGTATGTAACAACCTTCGTAATTAGTTTTTTATTTTATATAATTTAACAAATTTTTTCCATCGCTTTTTTTAAAAAAAAATATACATAAATCCCTGGTGATAATAAATCCCCTCCTCTTCCCCTCCCACTGATAAGAGATCAACCCCCCCCTTTTTAAAATTATTTTTTCTATCCAGATCCTCATTTTCCTCCTCCTACACACACACCGGAGAGAAAAAAAACGTTTGCGATAATTATTTAAATAATAAAATCATCATTATTATTATTATTTATGTAAACGTTACTCGTATACGCACGCGCACAACCTCACGCACATATATTTTAATCAAACAGGTATTTTATACATGTACCTTCCATTTTTTTTTTTTTTATTGATTTTATATTAAAAAAATTTATTTTTTAGGTATTAAAACTTAATCAAAAAATTTAATAGGGTTTAACAATTTGAATTATTATTAAGCTATCAATTATTATTATTATTATTATTATATTGTAAGTAGGTTGTGTGTGTGAGAAAGAGAGAGATAGAGTGAGTGAGAGTGAGATGAAGTGGGCGGGTATTAACACCTTCGATATATTATTATTACTATTAATAATAAAAGCGTTTAATTTTATTATTATTATTATTGCGACAGAACGTCGGACATTTTTAAAAAAATGAAAATTTTAATAAATCAATTTATTAATTTATCGTTTGTTTTATTTATCGAATCGATCGATAAATCGAATTTTTATAACAAAAACCCCCTCTTGCGAGTTTTTACGTACGAACAAACAAACAATCGAAGACGTCATGGTAGGAATTCAACCGGGGTTTTCAATTTTTAACACGAATAATAATAACAATAATAATAATTATTATTATTATTAAATTTATTATCGATTAATTGAATATCGATAATTAATAATCGATCGATTATTAACCTATTAATAATTTTCTTCTTTTTTTTTTTTTGTTTCAAATCTCTCACCGTCATCGTCACGATCGCACGTTTTTTTTTTTTTTTTTTTTTTTTTAAAAAACTACGTGGAAGCAGACGGCGAAAATTAAAAAAAAAATTTATTTTTATGATTCGTTAATAATAATAATGATAATGATAATAATGATGATAATAATAATAATAATAATATAAAGCTTAATTGTGGTTTATTGAAATTTTTTTTCTCTTTTTTTTTTTAATGCGTCACGTTGTTGTTGTTTCTTTTCATCTTTCCTTTTTTTTTTTTTACATCATTTGCTAGATAATGTTCGTACCGAACCGAAGAATACGATAATAATGATAATGATAATGATAATGATAATAATAATAATAATGATAATTAATTTTAATTAAAAAAAAAAAGAAGTGTGTGTATATACCCGAATGTAATAAATTAAAATTATGATGAGATGCACATTTTTTATTATTATTATTATTATTATTGGATACAGAGAATTGCAACATTAATAAATAAAATGCAAGTGTTTATTATGTACATAATACATAAGTTACAATAAAAAAAGATTTTTTTATATTTGTAATAATAATAATAATTTAATAACTTTGTAATTATTAAAAAAAAAAATTGATGATGATGAAAATTGCAACAGGATTTTATGTGAATTTCGTATTTAATTATTATTATTATTATTATTATTATCGATAACGCGGTATTCGTGTCGATAATCGTCATCGTTGCCAACATTTGAATACAAAAAAAAATAAAATGGCGTACGAATAACAACAACAACCGTGACCTGTCTCTCTTTCTCCCTTCACTTTACAACCGAGTGTTGTTTTTTTTTCTTTTTTTTACAAAAAAAAATAATAATAATGATAATGATAATGATAATTTTTTTTTGTTTTTTTCACTTAAGCAATTTTAATCAAAGAAAGAAAAAAATTTTTTTTTTTTTGTAAACTTGACCTTTGAAGCATAAATTTTTCCTTTAAAAAAAAAAAAAAACTTTGAAATATTATGTAATTAAGAATAAGATGAAGAAAAAAGCAGAAAAAAAACATTTAAAAGAATTTCGGTTTTGTTTTGTAACAGTTTTTTTTTTTTTTTCAAACGAATTTACATAATTAATATTAATAATAATCATAATAATAATAATAATGATAATGATAGTAATAATAATAATAAAACGCATAAATTTTAAAAGGTTAACCAAATAAATTGCAATTCAACGTTTTTCCAATTCTCTTCTTTTTTTTCCCTTCCCCCACCTTCCCACCTTCCTCTTACCATTTCTTCCCGTCGACTCGAATAATAATAATAATAATGATTATATATAAATAACGTCATTGTAATAATAATAATGATAATGATAGTAATCATTTCCACGTGTTTGAAAGTGGTAACGCGATTTTTACCTCTTAATGACAAATTCAACGATACGATTTAATCAATAGAAGGGTTGGGCGTGTTTCGAGGGAAAATAGGGGGTAAGGGGAGGTCTTTACGAAGTCCCTTTTCTCCTCTCCCCCTAAGAATAATTTTCTAGAAGTGGAAAAAAAAATTAGAAAATTATTTTCGATTTTTTTCTAAGTGAGAGAGAGAGTACATCGATAAATACCTGGTGAAGTATCAACGAAAACGTTCGAGAGGGTAATAATTTTTCCTTTTTTTTTTGTTATTTTCACACTCTTAACCGGAAACGGAAATAAATATTTACGAAAGTAGTAAAAAAGGGATGAAACGCCATTTTTTTTTTTTAAATATTTATTTTAAAAGAAATAATTAACGAGTTTTTCGATAACACTCGAAACGAAAAAAAAAAAATTTTTTTTTCTATTCTTAAATCCATTATTATTATTAATACCTATTAATTTATTTATTATTTAATGCTCTGTTCTAATTTACGATATTGTTTCATTAACACGCGGTGTGTTATTATTATTATTATTATTGTTCTTATCAACCATTTATTTATTCATCGTGGCACTACCTAACTTTTATGAAAGTGGCATTAAAAAGTAAAAAAAAATCCTTTTCTCTCTAAGGCATTTCTGTGAGTCAACGTTTTTACTGGTTTTAAAATTTTATTTTAATTTAACGGTAATGATAATAATAATAATAATAATAATAATAATAATAATAATAATAATAATAATAATATTGATAATAAAATAAAATAAATTAACGTGTAAAAAAAAAAAAAAAAAAATTTCATTGATATAAATATCGACATTTAAAATACGTTTTAATATCTCGAGCTTGATAATTTTTTTTAAAATTCAAGCGTGGTTTAAATTATTATATTTATGTACATAAGTTTATGTATTAAAAAAAAAATTTTAATAGATTAATAAAATACATAAATAAATAAATAAAAAAAAAGCATTAAAAAAAATTTTTTACATATATATATATATGACATCATCGTAATGATACAGATCAGGTATGAGTCAAAATTATATAAAAAAAAGTTAAGACGTTTTTTAATGTCTCTCTCTCTCTCTCTCTCTCTCTCTCTCTCACACACAGGCACACGCACAGGCACTCTCTCTTTGTCTCTCTCTTTCTCTAAAGTTATTTTATTCAATTAATAATGACGTGATTGGTTGAAATCGATTTTTAAAAAAATAAAATTTTAATGCGAATATTTGTTAAACATATGGAAAAGTATGATCGGGATGCTGGATAAATTTTAAATAAGATTTCATCTCGAATTATCATAATAATAATAATAATAATAATAATAATAATAATAATTAATTCAGTTAAAATAAAAAAAATATGCAGTGGAAATGCAAGAGAAAAAACGGGTAATTAACGTTTAACTTGATTTTTTTTTTTACGTATGACGATGCAATGCGATTATTAATTAAAAAAAAAAAATTGACGTGGAAGTAGACAAATTATTCGCCGTATTAAAAAAACGTATTATACTTCGTCTAAAGAAAAATTTCGTAATAAATCGTCTTACGAATGACAATGCAAATATTTTCTTAAAAAAAAAAAAAAAAGAGTTTCCAGACTTTGGAATCACCATCACCAACACCTCCCTTATCGCCCCCCATAACCGCCACCACCGTCGTCGTCGCCATCGTCACCATCGTAAACAATCATCACATCTTTTAAAATATTATCATTCATTTATTTATTAAAAAAAAAAAAAAAAAACACTCAATTTATTAAGTTATCGATCGTGAAAAAAGTAATAAAATAAATTTTTTTTTTTTTTTTTGGAAG